GGGGTATATACTTTAGAATATATATATATAAAACATTATAAAGTGTCTTCTCCAACTTTTTGATAAATTATGTTTGTGGATTACAGACATATATATATGTACAATTTAAATCCGAAGGCTCCCCTGAGAGGTTTATATTAATAATGATCTGCTCTCCAATGTATCTCTGCCACCTACTGAGTTCTAATGACTTTAAAATACACTAGTAATGAGGAAAGACATATGGGATATTATGTATAGCTGAGGTAGGTGGTAAGAGATACTAAATGAGACTCAAATAGAGAATATTTTTTTCTAAAGTTCTCTGTGTGAAATGACATACTATAATATTTGAAAGGAAACTGCAAAACTTTATGTCTTTTACTATATATGTAAGTGTCTCTTTACATGTCTCTCTACGTGTGTGTGTATATCTGACTCCCTGTGTCAATATACACACATAATTCTTACTATCACTTCTTGCAACATATGAAGAAATTTTAATCCAAAACCCTTCTACACTTTAAAGCTATCCAGTGATGACTTACTTATTACTCAACAGCCTGATGTCCATTTTATACTCCAAAATTATGAAAGTTCTGGCTAGTTCTTCAGACATAAACTACTTCCATTACATATTAACATGATGATAAGAAAATTGACAGTACAGATAGCACACGTGGTTAACATCCAAAAAAGTTAAAATAATACAAAAATAAGGCCCTACTTGAATTACTAAGATCTTGTAGCATTTGAAATGTTATTTTTCTCTAAAGTTCTAAAGAAAAGACTTTTATTAGAATGTATCTCAGTTTAATAGCTCTGACTCAATGATTAACACCTTTTTAAAAAATGGAAATGATGAATTCAGATTTGGAAAAATTATTAGGAATTTCAATAAGCATATTAATTTCAATAAAAGTATTGATAGTAATTTTCCAAGAGAAAAACAAACGCTCAATAGCCTTTGATTTCAATATCCACGTTTGCTCTTGATTTCAAACGTATTAGTGACATATATGTCAAGGTTTAAATCTAGAATGAACCCTAAAGTCTCATACGTTTAGAGACAGGACTTTCAGAGCTGACTGGATCATGAGGGGTCTAACTTTCTCAGTGCATTAGTCCAGTGATATCATCAATTTGATATTTTTGAGGTGATGGAAACAGGAAACAGTGCCTAGAGAAGGGAGTGGGTCCAGGAGGTGTGGAGAAGCCAGGGGACAGAACAAGAGCAGCCTGCCCTCACTTGCTGCAGTTTAGGGCCAGCAATGGGGAGAACAGCAGTACTGTCTTTTTTTTTTTCTTCCTATTTTGGCGCTGCAGCTCAATGCAGGACCTGAAGCATGCTACGCAATCATCCTGCCACTGCACTATCGCACCGCTACTCTGGAGGTGTGAGCTCAGGGACTCTATCTGCTTTCTAGGCCCCTCCTCTCTGGCTCTTTGCTTCTATCTCTGCTTCTCGTTGCCTTGAAGTCAGAAGTTGTCTGTGCTATGCCCTCCTTTCCTACTGTGCATTGCTTTTCTCAGGTATTTAGTCACAGTGATGTAAAGCAACTAATACAAATACAGAATACAGAATATTTGTTTTCTTGTTGAAAGCTGAAACCTTAAACTAATATTTAGTACCACATCAGTTCTTATTGCTTTGCAAACAAACTTGGCTTCTTCTATATATTAACCAATTATACCGAAGATTTATTTGAAACGAAAATATGCATCCCTGAAGTTCACTTTGCAGAAAAGTAACCCATTACTGCAGAAAATGATCCAACCCTTAGGGCAGACATTTGCTCATTTATTCAAAAGCTATGGATAGGTGCCAGATAACCTAGGGGCCAACCCAATGGTTAAAGACTCTAGCACTCACAAAGTTTATATTGTAGTTTATGTACAGACAAGAATCAACACACAAACTCATGCTCCAGAAAATTCCAGGCTGAATCTAAATCTAAAAAGAAAATGAAATGAATTTGTGCTACTAAGTAAGAGGGTAGATAGCTTGAAAAAGGGTGGTGAGCAGAGGAAGCCACATTTAAGCTGCACTGTGGACGTCAAATTTGACCCAATGCTGAAAATGCGTGGGCCAAGTTCCAGACAAAAGGGGAGCCAACTGGGATAGCCAAAGAACAAAGAGCCCACTGTGCCCTTTCCCTATACACAGAAAAGGCAAAAAAGTGGGAGGTTACTTCTGAGAGGGTTCCATGGCCTAGGTGGAGATACGTGCTCTCTTCTGAGAGGACAGGAAGCTGTGAAGAGTCTGAAATAGGAGTAGCACATATGATTTGATTGCCTGTTTTAAAAAGTACACAGTATCTTGAATATGTTGTTAGTATTGGAATATCTGTGCACACTTGATCATCACCTTCATAAAAGTGTTTTCTAAAATCTGTAACAGGTCCAACATTTGGAAATGTTTTATCCTTGGAGTTATGTTTGTTCTGACAGTTATATAAAACACTCAAAACAGATAATCAATGTGTGAGTGTTTAAGATACATGACCAATGGACAAGGGTCAAGTCAGTCCTGAAGGATTAGAAGCTAGTTCAGCCAAGGTAAACATCAGGGTCTTGAGACCTGGAATCAAGCAAAACCATGGGGTAAAAAAGACAGCAAAGTGGGAAGCAAGTGGTTGTTAGGGTCAGTGGATGTAAGTACAGATGTATGTATCTAGTATGCCTTCATCATGGCCTTCCTCATGGCAATGATGTGGAGTTTTAGGTGGAGTGCAGTGATATGATCAGATTCCAGGAGGAGGAAGATGTACAGAGAAAGCTAAGGAAAGAATGACAGAGATGAAACAGACCGGGGACTGACTGTCAGGCCAGCCTGTATTTAAGCAAAGGGTTTTAGAACAAAAGAGGATTCACAAAGGCAGCATGATGGAAATCACAGGAATTTAGAGGAGACTGAAAATTCTACTTGCAACTCTACAGAAGGGAGACTCAGGAAGACAGATGGACAGAAGCACAAGGGAATTCCTCAAACCAACATGGTAAGTTCATGGCAGACCTGGGATCTGGGTTTAGGGTCATGTTTGCCTCATACCAGAAAACTGACTAAGTGTATATACACGTTACATGCACATGTCATATTTTAACATAGAATACATGTTTTAACAAAGATGATCACATTTTTACTATGTTTTCAGAGCAATGATGACTTTTTTGGGGAGGGGGATAAGCCAACCGGTCCTGAAAGATTCCATGTACATGCTACACGTAACTAGAAAAAAAGAACATTCTGTTTCTTTAGTTTAATATCACTCACTGTATTTTAATATTACTTCACTTTCCTCTGTTTCTCTTTGCCCTCTCTCATTTTCCTATCATCTCTTCTTTTCTCTGTTTTTTTTTTTCTATTAAAAAGAGCTGGCAAACTTTTTTTCTGTAAGGAGCGAGATACTAGATATTTTCAGTTTTGAGGACCAAGAGGCAAAAGCATTGTGTAGATATTTATACAAGAGGAGAAAAAAACAATTCCACATATCTCCCATTGATGAATTTAAAATTAATAATTGACTATGATTCTGTATGTTGTAATATTTAATTATTAGATCTGAAATTAATAAAATGAAGAGAACAATAACTAGGGGAGGGGTTAGCATTCCATGTAGGTGAAGATCAAAGTCAGTGTTCTAAATCATAAATAAGTTACCAACACTCACCAGTAAAGTTCATTCCTAGCTCACATACCAAACAAAAAGGCACAGGTGGTAGCTGTTGACCCACAGGTTGCTATTTCCTGGCCCCATTACTAAATAATCATATTATTCACTCACCCCATGTGCTTTATTATTGGAGAAAAGAGCGTCTGGTTTTCATGGTACTGCTCATAATCTGTATTTCCCTTCATGTCCAAAATTTCCTTGGTTTTATTCTGCCACTGTGTTCTTCTGTCATGAAAAGCACTCTTCTCGGTTGTGATGAGTAGGTAATTTGGATTCGTGTCCAAGGGAATGGTTTTAATATTTCAGAAGACCCCTGTCCTTTACAGATAAAGCTGGGAATGTCTTTTACTTCAACACTAACACAAATGATCATATAGACTATTTTATTTATTTATTTTTTTAGACTATTTTAAAGTATAAATATATAACGGCACATGGTATTCCAGTAGCTGCAAGCCTAGCAAAAAAATACTTGATAAAATATCATTAATGGGCACACCTTTGAATTTCACAAATAGATATAAATCTCAAGTGCAAATATATACCTGAAGGAAAAAATATAATGACTTAAGATCCTTCACACTAAGGTCAAAATAAATGTCTAACCACTTTTTAAACTCAGGGTTTGTTCTGGTAGCAGAATTCCTAATTCAGGGATAGAATTAAAAGCGACCATAGAGCAGAGGAAGGAAATGCAGAGAGGGAGGTGTCAGCTTTGATTCTGAAGTCACGTGGCAAACAGACTCTGCTAAACACACGCAGACATTGAAACCGTATCTCTAGCATCTCACAATCGGCTTCTGTGTAGGTTCTGTATCTTAAATTGTAGCTTGGCAGGAGCCTTAGAAATCAGGAAATCTACATTATTATTTTATAATGAGAACACTGAGAAGTTGACAAAAATTTTCTTTGTAACTTGAGACATGCTGTTTAATCCTTTTTCTCTCATTGCTAGAAAAACATGGCCTTCCAACACTTGTGGGAAAAACCAGTGCAGTTTCTAAGAACATTCAACTTCAGTTTTTGCTTATGCAGAAATTTTAAAACTCATGGGCTCAGAAATTCAGCTCTGAGTCAGCGGGGATTTCCAGCACTTACTGTTGAGACTCAACAGGTCTTCAGTTGACTCACTTGGAGGATGGTGATAAGCCTGACTACTAGAAGTGAGCTCACTGCAGAATCCCTGGGGCAAAGCTCAAGCACTCACCCAATTAGAGTCAATCCATCTGTCTTTGCCAAAAACCCAATAAAGTAGAAAGGAGTTAGACTTGAGAATTAGCTGGAGATTCATTTGGATTTCAGTTCAACTGCTCTGTGGGAATTCCCCTGAGCAATTCAGAGTGTCTCTTTCTGTGAGGGCAAAATAATAATACCTGTTTTACCAGTGTGTTAAGGAGTGAGATCACGGGCTGAGATATTCAATAAAATACAACTGTTAATGCCCAATGTGCTCATGGTCGCAAAAATTGACAATTAATGAGCCCAACTTGAAGCGCCTGCCTGGCAAGCGCAAAGTCCTGAGTTCAATTCCCGGTACTAAAAAAAAAAAAAAAAGAATTGATCCTAACTTGCTAATAAAAGAATGATGGGAGAGAAATTCAGGAAGAAACTCATTTTAGATGCCCTTAGTATTGCCCTAGCATACTTGTATCCTTGTACACATGGTTCACAGGTTACCAGGGTCATGGAGTTCACCAGGGCCATGGGCATTAAAGAGATCAGCAACAGTCAATATCCTGTAGGGTCCTCCTTCAACATGTCCATTGTCCCAATAGTCACATCACCAACACTGAGCTAACCATGCTCAGTTCAGGCTTATATCAGCTTCACTCAAGTGCAAGTTGGCAGTACATTACTTCCAACCTACATTGTTGGCTTCTCGTTTTTCACTCCTGCGCTTCTATGATACTAAAACAGAAGTTAGCCCCCTCTAGTTCCCTGAACTCTCACACATGTGCCACCTAGTAGTGTAGAGGAGTTAACACCCATGAAACCATCTCCACCCAATACAACACAGGAACCTGGTCATAAATGCTTCTACCCTGTGATCCTCCTACATGGGCAGTTCTCACACTTGTTTCATAAAGTGTCTCAAAAGGTCACACCAGAGAGTACCAGTAGGTGCCGCCTGTATTAAATGTCCTTGTGTTGACTTTCACTCCATCCTCATCTTTTGGTTCTGCTCCCTGGAGTTGAATTCTAATTAAACTTCTAGACTACACACAGCCTCTGTCTCAGGCACTGTTTTCAAGGAGATAGAGGGTAAGACACTGCCTACACCTATGGTTACCTAGAAAGCTGGCTTGTAGAGATGGAAGAGACATTAGTTCACTTCAAGGATAAGATATTTCTGTGAAAAAGGTCACTAATTGATCTTTCCCAGGGATTCTAGACAAAACCTTGGAATTCTTCTCACACTGCTGTAGACAATCTTGTCAAAGGATGGAGGCTGATCCTTGAGATAGATTTCATTGGCTACCTTGGGTCCAACAGATTGGATGCAAATCTCAGTTATTAGCTATATGACCTTCAAATACCTTTTGAAACTTTTCTAAACCTTAATTTTTTCATCTATAAAATGGGGATAAGTTGTTTCACATTATTATTAGGCATATTTAATATTCTTAATTTATTTAATTATTTACTGAATGTACTGTTTAATAGTGTAATATACCAAAACACTTAGCAAGGTCTAGGCACACACTAAATTCTCAATCAATGTAATTGTATTCTCCCTTTCTTTTATTTTAAAATGCAAATATCAAGAAGAAGGGACAACAATCATTGTACACACTTGGTAAGTTTACCACGTTTGTACCCCTGCAAAACATGATGATATAATTCACATCTCATTGCTCACTGAGGATCAAATGAAATGATACATAAACCATAGTAATGTTTTCAATAGTAACAATAGGATTACTGTTATATTTCAAATGGAAAATTCTAGGCTCAAGGCTAAGAGATCAATGTCATCTAGCTGGTAAAAGACAGTCTTTGGGTTCTATTCTTTCTATCAAACTGCCCCATCTGGGACCTCAGACAACCTGACTACCATCATCAGATTACAAACCCAGGGAGGGTCCGTTGATGATGAACAAGTGCCAACCCAGCTCATCAAGCACCATGAGGTCCTGCTACACTGTAGGAAGAAGGAGAAGGAGGACCATAAATAACTCTTAAGGCGGCCTTTCCAACCTGGCCTGCTCTTGAACCCAATGACAGAGGAAGAAAATGACCACAGAGATTTGGATCTGCTGGCACTCACCAGAATAAAAGATGTATTCATGAATGTCACAAACCAGCTATTACATCAGAATAGAAATATGGCAGATGGAACAACTGCAAAGATGCCTGTGGAACAAAATATGAGGTCATTAATTTATTCATTTCTTAGTTAATAAAGCCTCCCTCTAAAACAAAATCAAGGTTCTGAGCAATTCTTCTATCACTTTTCTTAATTTTAATTGATGGATGCTCTTTGTGATTACTAATTCTCCTATATATCTAAAATTCTTACACAATTTTGCAAAAATAAAATCCAGGGTGTTTTTTATTAACTGCATAAGAAATGTGTAAGAAAATAAATAATGGCCACCAAGAAAGAACAATTGTGTTGAATTATAAGAACTAGAAAATATAGAAGTTGGTACATATATTATTCATAAGAAAATATATAGAAACATGATCAGATTTTAATAAGAGTATGGGATGTTAGACTTTTATGGAGGTGGAAATTCAGACCTGGAATAGATCTTAGAAATTATGAAATATAAAACTATTTATATTACACATGAGGACACTGAAGCTCAGAATAGTTAAAACATTTTCATTTTAGATAAATACCTGATGAGGGGCTGGGGATTTAGCTCAGTGGCATAAGCGCCTGCCTGGCAAGCGTAAGGTCGTGAGTTTGATCCCCAGTACCTGCCCCCAAAATAAATAAAGTATCAGTATGATAAATACCTGATGAATAAGAAAAATATTGCTGGTTAAAAATTTAAAGATCTGTATGCTTTTGCATTCCTACATGTGGTAATCTGAGCAACTTTGTTGAAGATAACAATATGTAATATAACAACCATTGTTAATTTCCTACCATTTTATTTTGAAATTCTTTATAATTTGTATTGTTTTTGTGCTGTTTTGCTTTTGTTTTTGTTGTTGTTATTTTGCTTTTCTTTTTCTTCTCTCTTTAAAATAAAAAGTTCAAGGATCTTTTAACACTGGGCTCCAAACTAAATGTTCTTTCCACTTTCATAGTTATACATCATGGGCAATCTGAATTATTTTGGGAAAAAAAATAGAAAAACTTCAACAAGAGTTCATAACATTATTTTCAATTTTTATGCCAAGGAGAGGACCAATATTTCCAAGAATATTTTATAATTTTTAAAATTGAAAGAGCAAAGTGAGATTTCTACAGTTATAATTCATAATAAACATTACCGTAACATCAAAATAGAATCAGAGGCCAATGGAACACTATAAAGAGTCCAAAAATAAACTCATCCATACACAATTGACTAAGAATAGTAAGAAAACTAGTAAAGCACACACACATACATACAGCACAAATACACAGTGGGGAAAGGAGAGTCTTTTTAATAACCAGTCTTGGTAAAACTGGTTATCCACACACAAAAGAATAAAGCTGGACTGTTATTTTATACTGTTGAGGCAAATCAACTCAAAATGGATTAAAGAGTTGAACATAAAACCCAGAAGTACAGAATATTTAGAAGGAAGCATAGAGCTTCTGGGCATTGGGTGTGGCAATGATTTTTCAGATACTACAGCAAAAACACAGACAACAAAAGCCAAATGAAAACAAGTGAAACTACTTAAAACTAGAATACTTCTGAACAACAAAGGAAATATTCAACAAAATGAAAAATCAACCTACATAATAGGAAAAAGTTCAACTGACATTTTTATCAAAAACATAAAAATAGCCAACAAGAATATGAAATGATGCCAAAAACCATCAATCATCAGGGAAATGTAAGTGAGCTATCACCTCCCACCTGGTATGAAAAAGTGAATAGGTGATGTCAAGCTTGTAGAGAACAGGGAATCCCTGTAGACTGTTGATGGGGATATAAACTGGTACAGCTGCTGTGGAAACAACTATGGCGCATCCTCCAAGAGTGAAATACAACCACCATCTCATCCAGCAATGCTCTTTCTAGGTATATATCCAAAGAAATGAAATCAGTACCTTGAAGTGATATCTGTACTCCAGTGTTCACTGCAGCACTACTAACAATAGAGAGGATGTGAAAACCATAAAATATTACTCATCCTTTAAAAATCTTACCATTTGTGACAACATAAGTACACTTGGAGGACATTATGCTAAGCGAAATAAGGCAGCTATAAAAAGACAATGTTGCAAGATACCACTTATGTGTGGACTCCCAAAAGTGGAACTTAGAGAAACAGAGAGTAGAGTGGTAATGGTATGGATGAAGGATAGAGAAATAGGAAAATAGCAGTCAAAGTGCCCAAACTTTCAAGTATCAGATTAAGCTCTAGTGATCTAATGTATAGCTTTAATAATAATGTAGTATATACTTGAAATGTATTCAGAGTAGGGCTTAACTATTCATGGTTACCATGAAAGGTGATAGACATATACATCAACTTGGTTGTGGCAAGTATTACACAAGTATACTTACATAAAAACAATTTTGTAATATATATGTATATATATATATATATATGTAGTTTTTATGTGTCAATCATATCTCAGTAAAGTTAGGAGGGGGACTTCATTAAAAGAACAGTCATTTCCTCAAAGGGATTGAAAATATTTGAAACTATATTTATTAAATAAAGAATTGTCCCCTAGGTAGAAAAGACTTGAAACTATCAAACCACAAAAACAATAGTGAACACATTCTCTGGGAAAATATGCCTGCTCCCTGCTGACCCCCTAAAGCCCCACTTATTGGCATGTGTTTTATAACAGAATGCACATAAACCAGAATATATTTAGGTTTAGTCTATTTCTAGTCACACAAGTTTTATTTCCTAAAGAAGACTTCAAATTACCATTTTGGTTTGTTCCCCAAAGTTTCAGTGCTCCATATGGCTGAAGAAGTAGTCTCGTCTTCCTCACAAGACCTTGTGTGAACTGTGCACAGTTATGTCTTCAAACCCTTTGCTCCTGTGCAAATTCCATGGGGAGGAGAAATACAGGGCTTGTACGAGAAGGAGGAAATGAGAAAGGCAGACATGCTCCCAAGTTGAGATTCTGAACTGTCTTCCACATTTTTAAATGTGAACATTTCTTTAGTTTGCTAAAACTGTTATAAATGATGGCACAGAACATACACACTCAGCTTATGGAAATTCATGCACTATTGTAGTTTTCCTAATTGGGGTTCAAAAACCTACCATAGCAGAGTTTTTTTTAGTGCAGAAATAAAAAATAATAGTAACAATTTTATTTTATTCCAACTAATTAATTTATCAAACTTGTAAGTCTTAAAAAGGAATCCTGAGGAGGTATTAAAATTATTTTTAATGTGATGCAAAGATAAATTCTTTTTTTTTTTTTAAAGATAAATTCTTAGTGAGAAATCATACATTTTCTTTGCTCGATTGTCTCCAGTTAAACGTTTAATGATCAACTTTACTTATATCAACATAACAAATGCCCTCAAATTCTAGAATTTCTATAACAGTGATAATAATTTACAGGCAAGGGAATTACAACAGTGAATTATTAAGACTTAAGCAGGATTAGCTTGAGAAAATAAAATACATATAGGTAACAAAATGTATTACTTCACTTAGTTTTCAACATTTAAGCATCAGTTAAATGATGCAATGATCCACTGCTACCAACTGGTGCAGTACAACTCTACACAGATCCAAAGCATATATTTATATTTAATAGTTCATAACTTTTGAGACAGGAAATGATTTTTCATGCCCATCATTTATAAAAGTAGAAATCCATCTATTCATCTTTTAGGTAACTGTTTTATACATTAATCTTATGAAAAAGATTAATTAAAAGGTTTTATAATATTTTTCCTTTTAAAATATCAGCTCCATTTCAACATTCAGTATTATAACTATGGATGAATGTTTGTTCTCTACGAATTCTTTAACTATAGGCAAGCATATATTAACAACACATTAAAAACAAGAAGTGACTAAAGAAGTATTTATATTTTCAAGGAGCAATTTCACTAAATGTTAGTTGTTTATCTTTTCACCAAAGGAATTAAATAAATATTAACACTTGAATGTGCTCCCTGCATCACATTACACAGCAAGGTCATCTGGTAGTCTGTGATGTGGAGTCTACACTTTCTTTTCTTCTGTTCCTTCGAGGCAAAGTGATCTGCTCTCCACTCCCTCAAATGTTATCTTCACCTCTCCACCTCCAAGTCGTGGAACTCACCTCCACCTTTATTCCCCACCTTCAGCTGGGCAACAAAGCACATATGGGATGTTTTCTTCTCCCTGAAGAGGAGACTCCTTCATTCTTCAAGCACTGGGTCATGTTTTCTCAAAACAACACAGCCAAAAATATGGCCAGCAAGTCCCAATGTTCTTATTGTTTTTTAACTTCATCTTTATTGTTTAGTATTCTCAACTACTATGATGTGTGTATGTGTGTGTGTGTGCACAGAAGTCTTTACTTTTCATCACAATGTATCCTTAAACCCATATTAATAACCAGCTTGATCCAATAACAAAGAGGGACACATAACCTTTATGTGAGACTAACAGTGTGCTATTAGCACAGGGAACACAATGGAGGCTGGCAGACCACTCCCCTCCATCCACTTGAGTTTGGGCAGCATCCTAGTGCCAGTCTTCCTTCCACTGTTACGTGTAACTTAATCAGAGTGAACTGTAGAACAAACATACTTGTTGAAAGCCCTTAACTCAAGATGAATCAAAACTTTGTTAATCATTACTGTCAATCTTACCTAACAACCCAATAAATGGGAACCCAGGCTGCGATGCACTTCCTTAGAAATTTAAAACACTTGATTTATCTATGTGCTTTTGTTTTTTTTCTTTTCCTGTTGTCATGGTACCACTTTTCTGGTCATCACGCTTGTTTTTACTGACACGGTTCTGAGCAACCCTGAACATGTTTTCTCACTATCTTCAATAAATGTACTGCTTTTCTTTTACCATTAGATGTTTGCTTGAATTCTTCACTCATCATGCACAAAATCTGTTGGATCTATCCCACAGGATCACTCTAAAACCAAAATAAAAAAGGACAAA